CACTCACACCCTACACACTAGCACTCACATTCACTCACACCCTACACACACGCACACGCACTCACACCCTACACACTAGCACTCACTCACACACTACACACACACACTCGCACTCGCACTCACGCTCACGCACACGCACACGCACACGCACACGCACTCACACCCTACACACACGCACTCACACTCACACCATACACACTCGCACTCACACGCACTCGCACTCACACTCACACCCTACACACACGCACACGCACTCGCACTCACACCCTACACACTAGCACTCACACTCACTCACACACTACACACACGCACTCGCGCTCACGCTCACGCACATACTACACACACGCACTCACACCCTACACACGCACTCACACTCACACCATACACACTCGCACTCACACGCACTCGCACTCGCACTCGCACTCACACTCACACCCTACACACTCGCACTCACACTCACTCACACACTACACACACTCGCACTCACTCACACACTACACACACTCGCACTCACTCACACACTACACACACGCACTCGCACTCACACTCACACCCTACACACCCGCGCTCACGCACACGCACTCGCACTCGCACACGCACACACACACACACACACACACACACACGGAGTGTTTGTTCCCGAGTAGCCCCAATTTTAATAGAATGGAGAACTTGAATAACTGACTGAATAATCCATTAATTAAATTGTTGTTTGCTGTTGCTTAAATTGTAGTTGATTCTTTAAAATGTTAAACAATTTTAATAGTTTTAAATGAATTAAAATGAATTAACACAGTATATTGTTCTTCCTGTGTACAGAAAGAAATTATTTTTCCTGATATTGAAATATACATTTCCTTATTGAGATTTCTGTACTTGTCTTTTTTCATAAAGCTTTTTAAAAATTGATGATATTGTGTTTGGCATGCATAAAGTATGGTGAATATAGGCTTTTTTAGGCCTAATACATATGTCCCAGATTACAAAGTGACCTGTCCCAGACTATCAAATTCAGGCAGATTTTTTTTTTTGGCACAAAGGTGTGGCCTGTCTCCTCTGAGTATAATATCAACATTCTTTCTTCTGGTGTGGTTAGAAAACATCTTGGGGATTTCAGAAAAGTCCAATGTGTTGATCTAATGTGTTAGATAGATATTGAAATAAATCGCAGAAGTCAAAATTGCAAAAAATGTCCCAGATTAACCGAATTCACCCTAGATGCAGTACAGTGCAGTGCAGGCCAGAGCCAATCCACTAGGCAGAGCCAAGGTGGCCAGCAAATTATCAGCCCTGATAATACTCCCACGCTCCTCATAAACACTTGAAATGCGCCTATATAGCGATTTTATTATTCATATAAAAATAATAATAATAATACCCTATTTTGGTCATATTCACTATTAATTGCACAGCTCCCCATTAATGATCTAGCACAGAGGCAGAGATAAAGTTCTAAACTGAACGTGCGAGAGAGGCATTATCCTACTTCTAATTTGAAAATAGAAAAAAACGACTATATTAATGCCTATATTAATTTAAAAAATCCCACCGCTGCCAGGACAGACCTTTGTGGGAAGTCGTGGCCTAATGGTTAGAGAGTTGGACTCATAACCCAAAGGTTGTGGGTTCGAGTCTCGTACCGGCAGGGATTGTAGGTGGGGGGAGTGAATGTACAGCACTCTCTCCCACCTGCAATACCACGACTGAGGTGCCCTTGAGCAAGGCACCGAACCCCAACTGCTCCCCGGGCGCTGCAGCATAAATGGCTGCCCACTGCTCCAGGTGTGTGTTCACGGTGTGTGTGTGTTCACTGCTGTGTGTGTGCACTTTGGATGGGTAAATGCAGAGCACTAATTCCGAGTATGGGTCACCATACTTGGCCACACGTCACTTCACAATTTAAAAGGTGCAAAACAAAACATCTAATATATATATATATTTTTTACTTTTTCGGGCAGCATTTTGTGTGTACAGTTCTAATTTCAAATTTGCTTTTCAGGATGGCATATAAAAATACAGCAACCCTTCTTTTTTCATCATGATTAAAAAGGAAAAACGAATGGACGCAAAAGTAGGCTATAGGCTACACAGACCTGGAAACAGGCTATTGCATGGTTTATTTGCCTATATCAAGTCTTTAGTTTTTTGTTTTGGTTTTGTAAAGACATAATGAAATAGGCCTAAGTCGTTTTTTTTTCCGTTTAATTAGCCTAATTGAACGAATAAGTGACTGCAGCTATTTCATGTGATTTGGTTTGCCAATTGAATTTTACCTTATTACTTCAACTGTATTGTTAAAAAAAGACAGTAAAAAACTTCAATATTTATTAGGTGAAAAACAAGATTGTATCTTACTAGCAGCAAGATACATTGATGCCTGTCACAAAAAGAGGGAGGAGTCAACAAATCAGTGATGCGCCCCCACACACACACACACACACACACACACACACACACACACACACACAAACACGCACACACACACAAACACCACATACACACTGAATTATAAATTGTTTGTAGAATTCTACGATTCTAAAATGTTAATTTGTTTTACTTTTTAAATGTATATACATACATGTTTTTGTTGCATATATATCTGTTCTAGATTCAGTGTAAACACTATGCTTTGGCAATACATTGTAACAATTGTCATGCCAATAAAGCACAAATTGAATTGAATTGAATTGACTATTGGCGTAAATTTGGAGCATGTGGGGGGCTGAGTGACCTCAGAATGATCATTAAATATTGTTTTAATCTAAAAAACCGAAGCAACACAATTTTTTACGGGCACAAACCAGCACAAAGAAGAGTATTTGGGGTAAATTTGGAGCATGGGGGGCTGAGTGACCTCAGCATGATCACTAAATTATATTTTAATAGCTTATCTAAAAAAACCGAAGAAGCACAAACAAAATTTTTTACGGCACAAACCAGCCCAAAATGAAGCACACACAAAGAAGATTATTTTGGGTGAATTTGGAGCATAACCACCATCCAGGTGAAGGCAAACAAGACCTCACCAGTGAAAACCTTCTCAAAGTTGTGGATGCCACCAGCAGTTTTGGCTGAAGCATATGCAAAAGTGAGCAGCAGAACAACAATGGTCAGGCCGATCCTGTATTTTATGTCCTTCATTTGTCCAAATGCGATGGGGAAGATAACGGCTATAAAGCGATCCAGACAGACGCAGGAGAGGAAAAGCGGCCCACTGGTGTCCTTCACACCATAGGAGAATTTCAAAGCCATCCAACCAATAGCACTCCTCCAGTGGTAGAGATTGAGGAATGATATTATTGTCATGAATCCAAAGTAGGCGTCCATGAAAGCCAGGCAGCCCAGGAAGATGTCAGAGGTTAAAGGTTCATTCCGGGTGTTTATAAGGTTTGCCATGACCAGGATGTTGGCAGGTATTCCTATGACCACATTAAAGGATTGCATAGTTAGGTCAAAAATGATACCACTCACCATTTGTTCACACCCTCCAAACACACTGACAGCGTGTGTCGTGTTGACTGAATCGGTTGTCAAGTTAGAGGAGGGCTGGTTGTTTCTGAGGATGGTGCCGAAACTTGTGTCGTAGCGCAGTTGACTCTCCATGAAGTATGAGGAACTGAAACCAGTGAACCAAATTCTGGAATAAGCGAAAATGACAAATGATAATGTTAACTGAACATTTTTAACATGCCAATATCCTTTGCCATGCCTGTTGACATTAGGGACAACCGTTTTTGAATTTTATATCAGATTTAGATCTTTATTGTTAGAAAGATCTCTACATGGTGACCAATCCTGCTTCTAGAGCCACTGTCCTGCAGAGTTTGGCTCCAACCCTAATCAAATACACCTGAACAAGCTAATCAAGGTGTTCAGGATTACTTGAAAATAACAGGAAGGTGTGTTGCAGAAGGGTAGGAACTGAAGTCTGCAGGATTGTAGCTCTCCAGGAGGAGGGTTGGTGACCCTTACTCTACACTCCTCAACTCGGGACCTCAAGATCTAATTAGACTGGGTGTTAGAAATGGAAGACATCCAAAATGTCCCAACCAGGGTTGGGAAACACTGCTCTAAATCAATGTTATTCCCAATTACAAGCCAACATGAAACACATAATTGACCATTTACTTCTTTAATGCACATTCCTGGTCTTACTGTCATTCAAAAAAAAAAAAAAATTCCATTAAAATGTAATAAGCTATATTTGAATCAACTTTATTTTTTTCCACTGACATAATCATTACCCTGTGGTAAGGTAATAGCCAAAATATTCCACCACAACTCAACCACTTCTCTGCTGCTAGCTGTGACCAGCATGGCACCAGCGTAACAAATATAGATATGAAAGAAATGTTTTTGACTGATTTCAGGCTACATATTCTGATCCTTTCAAACTATTTGGAAAAAAAACATCATCAGCTGGTGAAAGCAGTTTGCAGCTGTTTTAAGGTATTGTGCCCTTTCATTGATTAATGAACTAAACTATTTTTAAGTTTTTTTTTGAGTAGCTCCTGCTTCCTTCCCCACCAACCCGTCACTTCTGCTGAAGCCAAAAGTGTAGGATAATGAATGCTTGTTAATAATGCTGTACAACAAGGCTAATCAACTTTCATAAATAAAATATTTAATAATAATAATTGTTCACCAGGGAATTGGTCACAATCGTTTATTTTCCACAAAAGAAAATATAAACAGATGCTCTTTTAAAACACTTTTTACAGTTATAGTAACACTCATAATAATGTTGGTAATATTATGACACTATAGGTGTTGAAACTATATTTTGACTACAGTAGACCATAAAAGGAATAATTTTTCTGGTTGATTTTTTCCCCCACTCTCGACCTACAAGTCTCATATTTAAATTGTATACTTTTTATGTCGTTGTCTAACTAGTAACATTTTTAAACAATCAGCCTGCAAATAGTTAGTTATAATAGTGATAAAACACAGTCCTAGCATATGAAAACTTGAAAGCTTGTACCAAATGTACCAATAAGCTCCCAATACCAATAGTTATTTTACAATGCAATATTATTTGTATACATTTCTTTATGGTTCATTTGGAATTGTTGAAAATACTTCAAGCATAACCCAAACAACTGCAAGATTATCATGATTTGTTCGCATAATCATTCATTTAATTTAAAAAGCCTGTGGCACAACTAAAATAATGACATTATGAAAAGGCATGCATAACAGTATTTAGTGGTATGAAAACACATAACATGAACATTGAAAAGAGAGAAAAGACAATGAAAAGCATGCTTCTTACCGGAGAGACGTTTTTAGCCGTAAAGATGTGGGTCAGATTGTGGAGTCGCCTTTATAAACATCGTGAGGCCAGGAGGAATGACAATTGTTGATAGGAGGCAGGGTCTTTTTTGAGATGCTTTCTGGACTCGGTCCCTGATGGTGAATTAGACTGTGTTTTCTAGATTCTTCTGTCCTCACAGGATCAAAGCTGTTTTGGTGGGTGTTTTCTTGGTAAAAGCTCATAGTAAGTGTTGTTTTATAAATTACTTCTTAAGATTAGTGTGGATTGTTTTGAATCACATGGATCCAAGTTTTATTAAAAACAATAAGACATTTCTTTTAGTTTTTAAATTTTATCCCTACAATAATCCCACCTGTCAATTGTGCAATCATAAATCATCCATTTGTCTTAATAAAGTAATTTAGCAAACATATTGCTCATTCCAAATTGACAAGACAATTAATTGAAGATAGTTCACCAAGAAACTACATTTGTAATACTTCTTACAAATGTTCAGTGTAACGTTATTATATAGATTACTATGCTTAGGTGTGTCAGGACAATGAATAGACTGCATAAAGTCAGTCAGAGAGAATAAATGGGTTAGGTGAGGCATGAGACCATCTTCGGCTGAGATTCAGCCCGTCACACAACACCTCTCCCCTGACTCTGACTTACATGCTCCAAAACTCGATCTGGGGCTGATTTGCATCTTGGGACTGGTCTTGGTTTTGTACCACCGGCCCAGAGGCCCTCATGTCAGTCTCTAACCCCCTTTCATTGCGAACACAGAGCACAGGTGCAGGACTCAGTATATGCACTTGCATGTCTGCTGTGAGTTACTTTGCATTTATAACTTCACGGATTGATGATCTCTTGATGTAGTGTTTAATGGAATACAGACAAGTTGGATAACTTGGTTTTCTGATTATTTATCAAGGCTGTGAAATAACACTTTTTTAAATTTATAATATAATGGCAATATAAAATATAAACAATATAAAATAACTATTATCACTTAAATATCTGTAAAGCATACAGGCAAGTCCTAATTGTTCATACACATGGGGGATCAAAACCTAGAGATCCCTACAGAGTTAAGTTCCATTTTTACTCTAACACAATTGCATATAATATTTATAACTCCAAAACCTTGATTACCTAGTTCAAGTGTGTTTGATTAAGGTCATAAACTCTGCAGGAAGGTCAGATCTTCAAGAGCAGGATTGAGTACTCCTGTTATACAGCTTTCCCATGGATACTATAACCGGAATACAGTCATGCCATGTTATGTCCATGGGGCATTACTTTTATAAGATTAACGTTGTGACGTGAAGGCCATGGTAACCAATATTCTGCATTTAACCCATTCAAGTTAGTGCGCACACATTAGGAGCAGTTAGTGAACATAAACACACACCTGGAGCAGCCATTTTTGCTGCGGCGCCTGGGGAGCAATTGGGGGTTCGGTGCCTTGCTCAAGGGCAACTCTGTTGTGGGTATCGAGGGTGGAAGAGAGTGCTGTTCATTCACTCCCCCAACCAAAATTTCCTGTCTGTATTGAGAATTGAACCTGCAACCTTCAGGATACAACTCAGACTCTCTAATCTAGTGGTCTCAAACTCAATTTCTGGAGGTCCACAGCTCTGCAGAGTTTAGCTCCAACCAGCTTCAACTCACACCTACTTGGAAGTTTCTAGTAATCCAGAAGAGCTTGATTAGCTGGATCAGGTGTGTTTGATTAGGGTAGGAGCTAAACTGTGCAGAGCTGTGGCCCTCCAGGAATTGAGTTTGAGACCATTGCTTTAACCATTACATTTACATTTACATTTAGTCATTTAGCAGACGCTTTTATCCAAAGCGACTTACAATTGGGCTACAACTGCCTATATATGATGTGATGATCTACAGTGGGTCCTGCATGGGAAGAGTTTCTGTATCACCTTAAAGATGTTATTTAGAGACTCCCAATGGCATAACTGACCATCAACCAGAAGAAATGCTCATGGACCCAAACTTTGGATACCTTATTTATCTATCCAATAACCCATCCATCCATACTGCTTTATACCCTGTAGGGACACAGATGAATGCTGGAGCCTATCCCAGCATGTATCGTGCCAATGGTAGGGAGGTTACATTACTGGTCATGAAAAAAATAGACCACACGTGGAAAAGTTAGAAGCCAAATAAATATTTTGTCACATACAAAATGGAAAGCATGATCATTTCTTGGACAAATCAGCAGGTACAGGAGATTTGTTAAAAAAAGTAATGAAGTTGCATGCTTACTAAATGCTTTTTAAATGCTATTAAAATTTTAATAACAAACCATGTGGTTAACATTTTGACTCATGCAAGTCTTCATCAGAACTCGCACAATTTAAAACAGTACCCACATGCTTTGCTATTAAAAATGTGTATTTATTAAGTGTTGGGTTCTTTCCTTTTTTGATTTGCATGTTTTTGACACATTTGCAAAACATTACATCAGTGTGTGTTTTTTTAGTAGGAGGTTCACTATTCATTTTGCTACATTGGCAGCCAACGAATTTGATGAAAAAAAGACAAGCTCCTCCAAGCTTTATAGAACTAGTTAATGCAAGCCTTTCACAAGCTGAAAGAACTGTTGGCTTATAGAGGTCTTCAATGTGAGATTTCTTGTCCATGTTGATGGCTCTGATGTGGTATGTCTAGGTGCAGTGCTGGCACAGAAAGAATTTGGAAACGAGATCTATATTTCATTGATAAAAGAGGTATCAAAAGTATTATTGAGAAAAAATGTGTTAATCAAAAGATACACATTCCGTTTTGATATCCATAACACATGTAGGGGTTTTAATGTGCTTCTGTGTGTCCATGACCTGTTTAGCAGGTAGCGCACACACTCTATATTAGCTACAAATGGTGACTTCTTTATCTATGTCTTTATCTATGTATGCTATGTAATTTATTAATTTATCAGAGACAACAAGAAACACCATGGCAGGTGTCGATTTCAAACTATGCTTGAGAAAACATGAAAATATACAACTACTTTTATTTTCATTTGAATCAAAGTAGTTTTGCATCAAATACAATGTAATTTTTGCTAATCGAGATCCGGCAGCAACAGCACATCTTTTTTTGCTAGGACAAGCAGTTCACGGAAAGCTTTTCTTTTTTTTTGCTTTCTTTGTTCTCATGAGCTGCTCATGAGAACCAAACTCGTTCTCCCAAATGTTTTGGGTATGCAGAGCAGTCACAGCTTATGGACTATATGCCCCTAATATATACAATATGTTCTGATGCGAGTTTTGCCAGATTGCCAGTGTAACTTCTGTGATGGCACAGAAGTTATCAGAATCTTGATGCCATTGTCAAAAGCTCTGCAGAAAGGTGGGCCCCTCTAGTTAAAGGTTTGGAAACCAATGCATTAGGGGGATAGAGACCATTAAATACTGATACGTCTACTATAAGTATATACTGAAAACTGAGGAAAGCCCAGACAGCCACTGCTTGAATTGCAGCTCTGTTATGAAAATCTGAACGCCATGTATTGGCAATGCAAAGTCTCTACTATATAGAGAAGAAGAGCTAGAAGCTAGAAGAGAATCATGTCTAGAAAAGTAAGAAAGATGAATCAGAAGCAAGGTGAAAGGGTGAGAACAGCTACAGAAAAAACAAAGAAATTTCAGCCTTGGGCATGTGGATCACTTTACAATAGACCTGTACACAGCAAATCTTCTTGAAAATGCAAGTCATAATTGACATATGAAGTCACAGATATTATCTCACATTGTTTAGAAATAAATAAATGAGTGAAAGTCCAAGACTTGCCCTTTAATTAGCAAATGCATGTAACCTAACCTAAATCGATAAAGTTTTTGTTCCTGTTTTATTTATGTAGATGTCACAGCTTGCAGACGATCGCTACGCAAAATCTCTAGAGACTCGAAAAGACTCTAGCTCCGCCCACAGCACGCCTCGACTGTTTTCAGAGAGAAGCGTAACACTGTATCTGTCTTTTATAAATCTGATAAACTTAAGACACTTCGGAGATATGAAGGATGCAATACTACTCTATAGGTACTCAATATTAACATGAGATTGTCAGAAACTGTTATGTCTCCTTTAAATGCAAGTCTCCCTTCCATATATTGGCTGACAGCATCATTAGAACATAGTTCTAATCTTCATACTTGTCACTGTCCTAAGCTGTGACTTTAAAAGCAGCAGAGAGATGAAAGTAAGTCCATTCCACACTCTTGAGGCCCTAAAATATTTGTCAATGACATCTACAATACTATAATTAGATAGTATTGTAGATGCCATAAACAGTTGTATTTTGTATTTTGTATTTAATCTGTATTTATGTTATTTGTATGCACCCAAGGGTCTGAGAGTAACGCAATTTCAATTCTCTGTGTGTATGTGCTGTACATGTGGAAGAATTGACAATAAAGCAGACTTGATATGTGACAGTGATACTTTGTGGTATTTTTTTTGCAAAAATAAATAAATAATAAAGTATAATAACATCCAACACTGCATAACAGTCGAAATGAGGCGTTCAATGCAAATGTGGAAATGTTTTCCCACACGGTGGCATCTGGTGGTCAAATGATGAAGCACACCTAAACCACTGCCCATATTTAACAGCTGGTTTACATATGCATTTACAATGTGTGATTTGACAACAAGTCCTTTGACACTGAAACAATATCAAAGCAACATATAGGTACAGCAAAAATATTTTTTTTAAATCAAACTTTTTTGTTCTTGTATATGTTAATCCTTTACATCTAATTTAATTTCTTATTTAATAGTCCTACCCTGACAAGAAAATAATACACCCTCATGTCTCTGACATGGCTGTTTCATGGTACTAAATTGTTGCTAGTGTGTTCTGGCTGGTTGCCAGGGCATAGCTAGGAAGTTACTAAAGGTGCTATTGATCATGATGCTTGAGACTGGCCTAACAATGGACATTCAGTTCCAGAAACATGTTTAACCCAATCACCTGAGCCGTAAATGTCAAAACTGATCGCTCTATATTATAGAACTCTTTTCAGTAGAAAATTGCACTGAAATTGCACATGGCAAAACTACTTCTGAAATGGCTTCTATCCAGTGGATACTTCTGCTTAAGACAACAAATGATTTGAAAGAACCACTTACTATGTTTTATTTCATGAGTTTCTGATGGAGTCTTCATTGAGATGCTTTGAGAATGCAGGCTCTCTGAGTTGTGATGGTGTCGTTCTGAGGAAATTGAGGAAAGATGAAAAGGGAAATTACTTTCCTACTGTAGAAAGCAATCACAAACATATAGATCACAAACCTGGTCAATGACAGGCATTAAACCTTGATTCTTTTCATTCAGCAGCTTTCCCTTCCTCTGGTAGACTAGTGTAGACCGCTTTTCTCAGGAAGACCAGTTTGCTTGTCATCCTGTACAAACATATTGTTCAGTGGGGTGGGAGTGATTTGACTGAACCAGGGACGTATAAAGATTTAAGTGGCATGACACAAAACTAAGAATACAAAAAAAGAATATTAAATGAGTATTTAGGCTCATTCAAAAATATGCTTAAAAAATTTGAGATTTGTGATCTTGTACTATACCATGCCTCCTGCTGACAATTCTTTTTAAATTGCTTAAAAATAGTCTGAGACAGCAATGCCAGCCTTTCTTCTCTCTGACTGCCATTGTCTTTTCCAGTTGGATAATGTGTGAAGAAACCATGTCCGTTTTTCCTTATGTTCTTGTCTCTAACACATGATGGCGCCACAACTCTTTAAACAAATCTTTGCATGTTTTATTTATGTCCCAGAATTACAAAAGATACATTTATACTTGAACATTTAGAACAATGTATATATTACAATTAATACAATATCTAGAAAGGAGTCTGATAACATCTGTTTAAATAATTATTTGTAAATGTCCAACATGCTTAATGTATTATATATTTAGTAGTCTATTTACATAATTATTTTGAAAACTGAAGAACTATGGAAATTAAGCTACTACTTGACATTTAATGCTCAGTGTCAGTATGCTCATAGTAGAGTAAGTCATCATTCCTTTGAGGGCTTGTCTTTTTCCTTGCAGCTTAACTTCTTCACACAAGATTCTGGCAAAAATGGTACTTTCTCTAAGCGGGACAAGTAAGTTAAAGGCTGGATAGTGCTGCTGATGTTTACGAAGGCAAAACAAACTGGTTGCACATAGCAAGTGAAGATCTTATGGGGATAATGGTCTTCAAAGGGGAACATAGCAACTGGAGGGAGATAGTTGCTTATGATTATGATCAAGATAGACAGCACCATCTTAAAGGCCTTTCTTTTCATAGGATTCATCTCATCTTTACCAGAACCTCGTGAGCGTTTCAGGGCCCAGAGGATGGCCACGTTACACACCACCATCCAGGTGAAGGCAAACAAGACCTCACCAGTGAAAACCTTCTCAAAGTTTGAAAGCCCACCAACGGTTTTAGCCGAAGCATACGCAAAAGTGAGCAGCAAAACCACAATGGTCAGGCCGATCCTGTATTTGATGTCCTTCAATTGTCCGAATGCGATGGGGAAGATAACGGCTATAAAGCGATCCAGACAGACGCAGGAGAGGAAAAGCGGCCCACTGGTGTCCTTCACACCATATGAGAATTTCATAGCTCTCCAACCCATAGCACTCCTCCAGTGGTAGAAATTGAGGAATGCTATGATTGTCATGAATCCAAAGTAGGCGTCCATGAAAGCCAGGCAGCCCAGGAAGATGTCAGAGGTTAAAGGTTCATTTCGGGTCTTTATTAGGTTTGCGAGAACCAGGATGTTGGCAGGTATTCCTATGATCACATTGAAGCACTGTATGGCTAGGTCAAAAACGACACCAGCCACCATATCTTCGCACCCATCAAACACACTGAAGACGTGTGTGGCATTGACTGAACTGGTTGTCAGGTTAGAGGGCAGGCTGCTTCTGAGGATGTAGCTAAATCTTGTGTCATGGCGTAGTTGGCCCTCCATGATGTCAGAGGAGCTGAAATTAGATTCTAGAAGGAACAGTGAAAATTATGTTAATTGAATTTACTAATCTGCTAAACTCAGAAACTTATTTTTTAAAATATAATATCAGACTGACTGAAATCAGGTGCACAGTGTGTTTTTTTGTCTGTTTCTTGTTATTTCGCGCTGATACTGCATACAGTATATTGCACAAACCCAAACAAGTCATGCTTTAATGTTTTGCTTGAAAAATAATTTCATCAGAGGAGAAGTTTTATTTGCAATAACAAAATAATCAGCCTTCAGTGAGCATGTCACACTAGACAAGACTGCTGACTTTGCTGGATAGCAAAATAAATACTTTTCGATTTCCCAATTTTCGGCTGTTTCACACATACTCCGCTTACAGTGCGTATCTGGTCCACGTGAGTTATGTATGCGGTGCAGAAGCAGTGCTTTCACACAGGACGCGTTTGCAGTCCGCTCCTGATCTGGAAAATGTTCACGCAAAGAAAGAAGGCGTAACTTTTATTCTCGCTGTAGTATTGTTGCTGCCGCCGCCGCCATGTCGAGAAGGCGCTGTGTGTTTCATTGTGAAAGCAAAACTATTTTGTTTGGCCTTCCAAAAGAGGACACGACTAGAAATCAGTGGTTAAGTTGCATTTACAACACCGTTCCAGAACAGTTCAACCCAAATATTCAGATGTGTGCAGTGCATTTTATGGAGGACTGTTTCCTGATCCTGGTAGAGTAGACTACAATGTTGTTCTGTTCTGACATCCGGCTGTTCTGACTCACAGACTGTAAGTACGTTTTCATATTTAAAGGATTTGCCACTGACGATTCAAACGCGAGTTTAGAGCAGTGTAGAGTAGCACTTGTTGTTTGTCATTTCTCCGATCACAAATGCAGACATGGTTTTATATTTACGTGGCGTGATGCAACGCAACACGTAAAAAGACAGTATAAATCATTATAATCCGTAATTATGTCCCCACTGGATGCAACAAATGCCTCGTTTATAATGGGTTTGAATGTTTTTGTGTCATCGCTCCGGCTGGACAGGGCATCATAGTATGGTAAGGGGCGTAACATTTCCGTCACACGCTTGAGGTATTCGGCCAATCACAACGCACTGGATAGCTGGCCAATCAGAACACACCTCGCTTTTCAGAACGATGATCTTTGTAAAAAATCGACGGGGAATAGAGGAAAATAATAATGTACAGTATGTGGAAAATAATGTGTTTTTTTAACCTTAAACCGCATAAACACATTTCATTACACCAAATACACAAAATAATGTTATTTTTAGTAACGTCATATGACCCCTTTAATTTAACCTTAGTCCTGTGTCAAATGTCCTTTTTATTTTTTTATCATATTTACTGTTGTTTTGTCTAGTCAAGTTTATTTGACAAACTCTGGGAATTATAGTCTAGTTTTAGTCAATTAAAGTTGCCACATTTTAGTCATGCTGCATAATAGTTAAACTGATAATCATTATAATTGATTGCTGATCATGATTGTTGTCATTTGAGAAATTACATAAGAATTATTAAGAAGGTCTCCTTGCTGATTTAGTCACAGAAAACAGCTCAAATGACCATGTGAAGGAACACTGACTGGCTGTATTATACTTTCATCTGAGCAGAATATTTCAGGGGAGATCGATATACTCCAATTTACATGTTTGTCAGAGTTTTTAGATCATCAGTGCTTTTTCCATAGTTTACGAGACTATGTGTGTGAATGACTGACAAGAAAATGTTTCCATCTGATAGGGGGATTTAAACTCTTGACATTTGGCAACCCAAAGCATGAAAAGTCATGATAATCAATATTTTTTTCTCCTCTTATTTTGTTAAAGAAAATATAGAGAAAATTTGGATATAGAGAGTTTTTTAAGCTACACATAGTGTTTAATAATGTCATTGTTGTCTTGTTTTCATCTCATACTAATCATGGGGAAAGAAAGGACGTCAACAAAAACATTTTGTGTCATAGATTTCGTTAATGAAATTAACACTATTTTAGAGGAATGCTGATAGTGCTGCAGGACCATTTTACAGCTTGTGCCATGTAATAAATGATGAGACTTATATCAAAGTCTGCCATATGAGATCTCAATAGAACTGTTCTCATATTTTATATTCCATGATGTCACAAATATTTTTCTCATTGTGTCCATGAGACAAACCAGAGCAACAACTGTAGGTCATGTCACATTTTGTGATCTGACAATGCATCAGCTACCACAAACAGACAGGAGGATCTCCCCCTGAGGATGTTTTCCTGCATATCCCCACAGGAGTTCAGTCACTGCACAAACACAAGCACACAGGAACACATCTGTGCAGAAACACCTGTTGACGGGGACTGCCATCAGGGTCCGAACAAGACCCGCCCTTTTTCCTCAGCATATACATATATATGGACAGACTTCACTATGATGCAGTTGCATTTGCAGCAAAACTACTCAGTACTCATACAAAAAAAATTATTTGCTGGCTTCTGTAGCATGAATTACATTAACATATTGTGCAAAACAAATCACATTAAAAGAAACCTTTTCAGTCGACAATATAGCAACAACATAGAAATTTGGTGCATTAACAAGCAAGGCCATAAGTGTGGTAACGTGATCATCAGTTTAACCAATTATAATGAGTTACAGAAGTGAAACCATTATCATAGATGACTAATCACCCCAATCTTTATATTTAATATTTGATATCAAAATATATGATATTTGTAGTCTGATATTTTTGCTCTCATTGTCCTGTATTTTTTCAAAATTATTATTACTATTTTATTTTTGCCTGTATTTAATTTGGAAATGAATTGTTTAAAATGGTTGTTGGGGGGGCGGGGGGATGCAATGACTGTGGCAACTTTAACATTTGAAAGGATACTATGGAAAAGTTATCGCTTTCCTTATTGAAACTGCTTTTCTCAATCACCGCTTATCGACACTAGGGGTGTGACAATACACTTAGCTCACAAGGTGAGACAAGATACAGATGCTTGGTTCACTAGAATGAGACAATATTTTAATACTATTTTTAAGAAATTTTGACAATGACAAAATATTTTTTTCAAAAAGTAAAAAAATGCAGTATTTAGAAATATTTTAACTAATCTAGGGCTGTAACTACTGATTATTTTGGCAATCGAGTAATCTACTGATTATTTTGACAATTGAGTAATCTGATATTTTTTAGTAACACAAATAGACCTAAGTTAAAACCAGGCTTTAGTATAATATTTATACATAAACTAACGATGAGGCAATAATAATTGGCTCAAATAAAATATCAAAACCAAGTAATTACATGGTTTTATTGAAGAACACTGTTAAAATACGTAATGCAATATGCCTACACAATATGAACATAACTAAATTAAGTACATTATATATTATAACAAATACCTGCAGAGGGCTTCTACGGTCTGGTGAAGTTTCAATTTACAGTGTAAATTGAAACTTGTGTAATGTACAGTGTACATTAAACGACTTTCAAATCCATTTCATTTTAATATTTGGCCACATGCAAGCACAGAAACTAGTGAGATAATGTTTTATAATGTTTAATATTTTAATGGTATAATGTTTTCCCAGATGAACGTTAAGCAATTCAAATTCACAACATATGCAGCGGAAGAGTTTAACCCCTTTCACACATACAGTCTTTACTGGTAAATTACTGGTAAGTTACCATTAAGAGATCATGTGTAAACAGGACTTTTTCAAAAATCCCGGTAGATTTGTTCTGCAATCATATAATTTTTATGGAGATGACATGATTACGTTTTTCTATGTAAATATGCACTAGAAGAAGATCTTTGACCTTTTGTCGTGCTTCTCCATTCATCAGGGCTGCGACTCTGCAATACTATGCACATCTCGTGTTTATACGAGCAAAATATTCTGATTGGCTAATAATGTTAGTTTGGTTGAGAGTGAAAAGCTGTGCTCCTCTCATACTATTTGTAGGCAAACTCATGTACTCGAAAGTGATATCAACAAGTTTTTTTTTGTTTTGTTTTTTTAAAATGTAGGACTATTTTTTCCGCTGCCAAACGCTGCACGCCGGAGAATCTGGCACGGTGCCGGAGAACTTTAAACCCTGTTTGTAACATTAATTTACACATATGGCGCAAAAAACGTGTCACAACATCTCCCTGTAGAATGTGCGATCACAGGTGTGAATCAGCATTCAATCCGCATTTTACATCTTGAGCAGCTTGTTTAATCAGAATTTAGAATTCTGAAGAACTATCCATCTTTAAAAATGATTTTCTTTCCAACTACTGAAGCTACTACAAGATGTGTCTAACATAATGTGTGAACTTCTGTGGTTTATCTGTCTCCTTTATATCAGAGCTTATGGGAAGCACCACCCTGTTAAATCTGAAGGGACAGTAAGCTTCATGTGTTCTTGTCATGCTTTTCTCTGTACCTCTGGTCCACCTGGGACACAGAAGGGCCCTTGTGACCCAGAGCATGTCCCTGACCTACTCTGTCTCTCTGCCTTTAGGCTAAACTCTCTCCAGTGGGAGCACATGTGCTGAGGACGATTAGGAGGCTTCCTAGAATCAACACTATTAAACAATTTCTCTTTCAGCTCTGTATAATAATGGTCACTTGATTTGATATAGTTTGTTCACTTATAGAAAAGGTAGTTAGGTCTGTTTTTGCACCAAAGAATTGGTGCCAGTTGTCAATTAATTTTTTTATAGGTTTCTGTTTTAACTGGCCACTGTACTACAGTTTTCTTACCTTTACCTTTATATTGAAGTTTTTTTTTTATATATAAACTGGTAAAATTTACAAAACTGCATTCTTTGTTAATAGTTTGTAGTGAAAAAGACACACAGAAAACATATGTAAACTTTAAAGCTTAAACAATGTTAAAAACCTAATCCAGAAACTACCCAAAACAACAAAATGTACAATAAAAATTCAAAATTAAACTTAAATAAGTTTGTCTCTAATATTTAAAGATGTTCTAAAACCA